GCTGACTTTTCCGTCCTGGGTTTCCAGCTTCTCCAGAAGCTGGTCACGCTGGGATTCGGATTCTTGCTCTTCTTGTTCAAGTTCGGGGATGACAGTCTCTGACAAACGGACCCAAGTGTCGTAGGATGCACTAGCGGCGCGGGCAGTTTCGAGATCCTCTTCAAGACCCTTCAGGGTCTCATCTTCGGCATCAAGGCCAGCCTTCTTGACTAGGGCGTCCAGCTTCTTGGTGAAGGTCTGGAGTTCTGCCTCGTTCTTGAACGATCTTTGACATGTTCGGCACAGCTTGGTGCGCTTGGCAGCTTCGAGACATTTGGTGAGATACTCTCCCATTCCGGCATATTGATCAGCATCTTTGCGAGCAAGATCGTACTGTCCCTGGCGCTCCTTCACAATCTCAGGGTATTCGGAAGGCTCTGCGTCGACTGCTTCATGAATTTCCTTCACGCACTCGTCAAGTTCCTTTTGCCGTTGCTTAAGGTTCCTCTTGGCCGTCTTAAGCTTGAACTCTACATGCTCCAATTCTCGGCTCACGCCGTCGCGCTCTCGCTCGGCATCGGCCACCTGCTTTGATTCACTATCGAGAGCTTGCTGGAAGCCTCGCTCCAGTGTCTCGGGCCTCCAGTCTGGACCAACGACCTTCTCAAGGCGATCACCGTGAGCTCCTTTCATCGTTTGTAGACTGCGTTCACGATCCTTCGATTCTTTCTTGAGGTGGTCCAGGCGAGCCAACTCCCCTGCCTTCTTGGTTGAATCAATGAGCTCGGTGTTCAATCTTGAACTTTCATCCTCAAGACGACGGATCTCCGCATTGGTATCCTGGATATCTTGATCCCAGGAAGCAGTTTTTGCTCGATCTTTCGCGTGTTCAAGGTTTGACGTGATATCCTCGACCTGTGACTCAAGTGCAGCCTGGAAGCCCTCATCAACCTCGATTTCATTGAGCTTTTTTTGATAACTTGTTGCCTCCTTGTCATTCGCAGCAATCTGTCGTTTTGCCGCGTTCTTGGTCTCTTGGAGTGCAGACTTGGTTTGCCCAATCTCATTCAACGTTTCCTGAACATCACGGAGCTCTTTCTGAGCTTCACGCTTCACACGATCCAGAGACTGGTTCTGGTCTCTTAGAAGGCGTTTGATCTTCTGCATGAAGGTGTCAATTTCAGACTGGTCCATTTTATCGCCAAGGCCACGGATGCTGTTGGAGCGAGCAATCTCATTGATCATGTTCTGGCGCCTTTGAGACTGGCGCTCGAAATTGGCCTTGTCGTTCTCAAACTTTCCATTCTCGGCTTGTTTCAGGCCAAGGCGGTGCCGAGTCTGCTCGATTCGCTCCTTAATTTCCATATAGTTCTCCTTTTGAGACTCTTCTTGTTGCTGGTATTGGATCTGCTTAGTTTCGAATTGCTCCAGAGTAGATTCAAGCCATTCGTCGGAGTCATCAAGCTCAACCAAATGCCTTTTAAGGTTATCAATGGTGGTTTGGATACTTTTAGCTTCGATGCGCTTGCCCTCAAGAGCACCAAGGACCTGAGCATAACTTTCTGATTGTGTCCAAGCCTTATCAGCAAGCTCCGCGACGCGCCGCATCTCTTTCGACATCCGCTGTGTTTCTTCCCGCAGGCCCTCGATTTCATCTTGAAGCTTGATGGATCGTTTTTCAGCACGATCTGCCTTATCTTTGTCTTCTTTCGCATGCTGCTCCATGATCTTAAATTTGCCAAGCTCCTCGTTCTGCTTCTTTCGCAGTGCTTTGATATTGTCGATGGCTTTGGTGTACTTCATGGCCTCAAATATTTCATCAAACCTTTTTTTCAGCACAGATGGCTCACTCATCGGCCACAGACTTTCGTCTTGGTGGCAGAAAATGACCGAATCCAGCACGGCCTTTGACACACCCAGATATTGCGGCATTATTTGGTCCAGCTCAGCGACTCGCGATGAGATAGCCGTGCGTTCGCCATTCTTGACCATAAGTAGCTGCCCTTCTAGGGTTTTCTGCTGTCGTGTAGTTTTCTTGACCGTAAGCTGTAGACTGCGCGTGGCAACCATTTTCGCCCCGGAAGTGGCCTTGAATGACAGCTTCACTTGGGCCAGTACCTCTTTCTCGCCACATAGTTTCGGGTCGTGTATAAAAGCACCGCCTTTGCTGTTCGGAGGGAGATCGCCCGTTGTGGCATATTTGAGACACTCAATGATGGTCTAGATCCGCGTCAGTTCCCCGCTGGTCGCAATTCCTAGTCGCCCATTTCACCATTTCGTACCGTCTTTCCTGAGCCATTGTATCCGACAATCAATGTGAGGGGGGTGTGGAACTGGATTGTTTCGCTGCGCGTATTATCGAAGGAGCGGACTCTAGAACAAGCGCGGTTTGATGATGAGCATGATTGTAATTACTCTCCGCGGTGGTTGCGCGCAGATTAAAAACTTCGAGAGACGTACCCCAGGATAGAGAGCTTATCAATCTTCGCTATAGTACGTTAGATGACCGTTGGATCCTTCTTTTTTTTTTTTTTTTTCTCGCCGAGCTATAGAGCTGTTGCACTTACACCTAAAACCCAGTTAGCATCGCGACACAAGGCGGGGAATGATCAGCACGTACATTTTGAACAAAAGCGCTGGGAGGGGCGTTTGAGCCCGGTGGCTGTTAGCTTTATCGAATACAATCAGATACAAGCTGAAACAAAAAGAACTGAGAAATGAAAGTGCTCGGATCACCGTTGATTATGACCGATCACATAGTCCCGCGTCAAGGCGACACGAAATCACGTGAAATGTACTAAAGTGCAAAAGGCCCACAGGGATCGGCGGTATTTTATCAACCAGCAATGGCCGGGTCTTATTTCCCCAGTTATCTCTTTTCAGGGAGATCCAGAACCTCGGTGAGATGATGTGTAGATTCTAAGAGGCACATTGTCCAACCCCCTTTTGACCGAATGTACCGAATATACCGCCTCGAATTTGGAGAATGAGCCATTCCATTCGCGACGCCCACTCTACTATATCCGTCCCCTCGTGCGGCCATTCTCTTTTAGAGAAATCCCCTGGTTTTTTACAAGAGACGTCGGATTCAGCAGCGCTCAAACATATCAAGCGTGCCATTATACCTCCCTCATTTTGTTTTAATTTCTCTATACTGCATTCGACATGGCTCTGAGTCGCTCACAACCCTATGAGGGTATGCCTCTACCAACCTCCCAGATGCGATCGGGCCCCAATGATAGGCATCCAGAGTACGCAATGGAGCAACAGCAAACTCATGGATCCTACGGTGGGCCCTACGGAGTGCAAGGTGCTCAACACGGGGGCTATCAGGGCGTACAATACGATGCGGGGTGGACAGAGCGAGTACTCGATGAAATGAAGGATATGCTACTTCTCCTCACACCTGAAGGCCGAATCACCTACGCCTCACCATCGTGCAAGAATATCACCGGCCGTGTCGCCAAACAACTAGAGGGAAGTCAACTGGCACAGTACATTCATGAGGACGACCGGCCAATCTTCCAGAGAGACTTAGATGATTCAGTCGCCGCGAACCAATCGTTCCGCACCCATTTACGATTCCACAAGACCAACAACACTTATTGTCTCATGGAGGCCTATGGTCATCCACATCTTGCAAGCCAGGATGCGCGTGAAGCGGAGGGAACCACGCCCGCCAACAAGCGCTGCACCGGCTTTTTCCTGGTGTGCCGACCATATTCCAACAAGGTCTCGCAGCTCCTTGACTCTTTTTTGGAACACAAGATTGAGAACGCACGTCTGATCCAACAGATTGCCAAATTGAAACAAGAAGAAGAAGAAGAAGAGGCGGCCGCGACTCGGGCGGCCTATTCTAGGAGTGACCAGGAGATTCGCGCCCCCGTGACCGAGAACCAGAACCAACAATCCTCTGGTTCTGGGGAAGTATCTAGCGATCCTGATACTACGGACACCGTTGGGCCGAACTCGGATGAATCTGACACGGGCCAATCGTCGGGATCTCACACAAAGCCCAATACCCGCGAATGTTACTCACACATCGATGGCATCGAAGTCATGACCGGTCTGAACTATGGAGAGGGCGAGAGATCGCAAGGCCTCAGCACAGGTGTCAGCCTTGGCCGTCTTGTACATTGCGATATCGACATCACCACTGCTGCTGACCAAGAGCGCAACGCTCAGGAAGGTGACCGCCGTAAAAGGCTCAAGGCCCAGCATGTTTGTAGCGACTGCGGAACGGCAGACTCGCCAGAATGGAGAAAAGGGCCTAACGGGCCTAAGACCTTGTGCAATGCTTGTGGCTGTAAGTTTTATCCACCGCCTCATGTAATCCCCCGCTCACCTGCTTGTAACCTATCTACTCTTGGGACATAATAAGCTAATCCGGTTGCCTCTTTCTTAGTGCGCTGGTCTAAAAGGAGAAGAAACGCCAGGAATCGGCCTAATTTTCAGTTCGAGGTGTATTAGCTTTTCTCAGGGTGGTGACCTTCCAAGGTCTTCTCTCCATCGTCTTGCATGTTCACGTGAAGATACCCTCTCAATTTTTCGGGTGCTTTTTTAGTCAAGCGTCCTGTTCATTTTGCTGGATTTCCAATGATATTCAGATGAGCCCCATGCTCGCTATCGCATGGGTGATGATGTTATGTCCTGTGAGATCAATCCTTTGGTTCAATGTATATAGCTGGCCGTGGTCTATTTTACAAACAGTGTGTACTAAGCACGATGGGATGGATATTTTTTCCTTTGGTAACTCAAAATTTGATTATGAGAGATTAAATGATTTTCGACAGAGTCGGAGCAAATCAAAAGTACAACGCCGAAGATGATGACAGTATATACTGAGGGCTTATGGACTTTTGTCCAATAAAAGGCAAGCCCATGGACAGGGCGAAAGGAATGGAACGAACCCGTCTAAACGCCATGCTTGCCCCGTTAAATAATGAAGGTGATGTATGGGCAACAATAAGTGGTATCACAAAAGCAATTTCTCACGAACAACAATTCAACACTGAGTCCATTTAGGCTTTAGCAGCCTTCTTTGGCGGCGGCGGGAAGTACATCGGCGACCCTGTCGAACTCTCCGGGCTGACTTCATGCGATTGTGGGGACGGGTATTGGGGCTGGGTCACGCCGGAGTTGTTCCGTAGCGGAAGGTCTGAGGCAGTACTGCCATTACCAATTCGGTTGAAGGCCAGTGTGCGGGGTGCGAATGGTGAGATATTTCCCCCAACAGCCATGGGTGGAACGCCCGGGGTGCGAGGAACCATGCCTGGTCCTTGGGGCATCGAGCCGGGGGTCATGGGAATCATGCTAGGAGACTTGATGATCTCTTCTTCGAACTCCTTCTCGATGCGACGCTCTTCTCTCTGCTCCAGGATCGCTTCCCGCTCTTCGGGGGTGATGAAACAGGAGTAGATATTGAAGCCGAGGATAACTGCATAGTAGATACTGAGGGGACTGTTAGTTAACTATTTGCTCGCGGAATTGGGAAGTAAAGGAATATTAGTGGGAAGGTCAAACTAACATCATGATGACGGTCACAGCAAACAGCGCTTTGGCTTGCATGCAGTATCCAACATTGGATTTTTTGAAGGCGACACTGCAACTCTTCGCAATGTACCATGGAGCTCCTGGCTGGGGATGTTTTGGGTCTGACATGTCAGACCCAGCCTGGTACACGGCTGACACGATATAGAGAACCATCAGGGATGCGTGAACAACGACCGCAACAGGGGGTAAAATAGGTTCATCCAGTGGGTGGGTAATTTTGTGATGAGGAAGAAAGTGCTCAAAACACCGAGGACAAGGTTGTAGTTGGTCATACTGTTCCCAGGGTGAGCGGTTAGCTCTTGAATATTTGAACATAGTGGGTAACGTACAAGCTGGACCAAACCATGGGGGGCTTGAACGGTTTGTAGTTTGCTGCTGCATACAGTGCCTCATTCGGAGCACTGTTGAATCCATTGTCCGCTCCATCTTGCCATAACAATGTCTGGTATAGATTGTGGGAGGCGATACCCGTCAATGTCAGCATTACGATGGTGATCGGAAACTCCCCGGCCATCAACCAAAGGACGATCTTGTGGTTCCTATGCTTCTTTGGAAACATGAACTGCATTTTGGCGGTGGGTTCGGAAGATTCGTAATAAGAATCGACTCTATTATCCCCAAGCTGACCGTTCGACCGAAGCGCTTATGGAAAAATTAAAGCTGTGGACTATGCGATTTAACCAGACCGGCTGGCTAAGACATACAGTCTGTCGCGCGTAGAGGGCCAAATACTTCAGTGTGGGAGAGAAGATCAAAAAAATTAGAAGAACACAAGTCTGGGCGACCCGGAGGACGAGCGTTAGATATGAGCTCGAGACCAACGAGTGGCCGATGGCACAAGCCATCGATCGCATGCAGGAGGGGGCACGAATCAGCATGGGACGACGGTGCAGAGGGATTGATGTGTGTCTGGGAGGTGCATCTGGCCAATGCTTGATGGCGGCAAAGCGCCAGCGCAAGTAGCAACCCGGGGTCATCACACCAATGAGACGACGGGAATCGAGGGAACACCGCCGGTCGTCACACGCTAGACGGTGTGATAGGATGGCTGATCTGCATGGAGCCCTCATCACATAATTCCCCTCAACAGGATCAGCAAAACCTTGGCAATCCGAGGGAACTTGCAGCTTTTAGTGCGTAGCACCTGGCGAAACGCTGATGTGGGGGGGGGTGATGTGAGTCGCATCTGTGACTATGCAGTGGACTGTACATATACCCATGTTAGCCCCGGAGTCAGGAAAATGAGAACAAAGAGGATGGATGGTCTCTCGTTTGTGATAGCCATAGCCATCGACAATTCCCAAGTTTTCGAATTCGAAACATTGAAGTCGTCGGCGAGTGATGAATTGTTGTAGAGAGGAAAGTCATGTGGTCGGCAGGTCCCAAACTGTGACTGACTTGGTCTCATATCAAAGACTACAATCCATCTTTTAAACTGGGAATTTATCAATTAAATCCAGCCAATTACACCCTTGTAATATCATAAATACTTGATATATCTTGATGAAGTCGTTCCTGTCCTTGTGTCCGCTTGCTCTTCGCTCAACCATTCCACTCCGCATCATCCGGCCTAGTCAACTTGGATTGCGCTCCATCTCAAGAACCACGGGCCAAATGACTTCTCAAAGAGACGGCTCAATTCCCCATGAGCTGCGTACAGCCGCAGAGCCCCGGCAGAATAAACTACATCCAGTGCGACTATCACACATCGAACAGGTCAACCCCTCTGTTCGGCTACTACAGTTCACTCTGCCTCCCCAGGAGAATAATGTATGGTTTTCTTTTGTTTTATCTACTGCCTCTTTAAATATATCCCTATCTCCATATCTCCCTACGTCTCGTATCTTGTACATCAAGCCCGGCTATCACGCCCGGAGCTGGTTGTTCTCCCCGCGCCGTTGGATATATATGCCCCGCAGCGCCAATAGTTTCAATCACACCTGAGCATCTACTATCACACACATTCACCCAAGGGACGCCACTGACAAATTTCATAGGATAACAATCAACAGCCATTCAGCTTCCTCCCGGGCCAATGGCTTGATGTCCATATCCCCTCCATCGCTCAAGCGGGCGGCTTCACTATTACCTCCACCCCGGCAGATGCGCAAGTACTACCATCGCCAGAGGCTTCTATAGACTCATTAGCTGGCGAGGCACTAGAACCATCTTCAGAATCTCAAGGGCGACCACCGTATGTGGAACTGGCTGTACAAGACTCGCCAGGTAACCCATCCGCTGCATGGCTATGGAGACCAAAAGAAGAGGTCTTAGGCAAGGAGCTGAACATCCGAGTTGGCGGAAGCTTCGTCTGGCCCCCCACTGGAGTCGATGTTAATGATGTTAAGAATGTCGTCTTCGTTGCGGGTGGTGTTGGCATCAAGTAAGTGACACTTTCTAATCATCATCCGATATCTCCGAGGTATACAAACGTACACCAGCACAAACCAAGGCCTCACTTGTTTCAATCCCTCATGAAGAAATTCTAACACATTCTCAGCCCTCTGATATCCATGCTCTCCCATCTAAACAACAACGAACCCCACACTCCTAATCCAAGAACCATCCACATCCTATACTCCAGCCGCCTACCACAGGATCAGGAAACAGCCTCGGCAGATGCAGTACTAGACCAGGTCCTGTTTCTCCCACGTCTGCGCCAGATAGTCCGATCTCAAGAGAGTTCGCATCGGCTCAGCATCTCGTTGGACCTTTTCCTTACGAACTTGGCCTCATCGTCTGATCTGCTCTCATCCGGGTCTCCTTCCGATCTCAAAATTCACCGAGAAAGGATATCCGATCGTGACCTGCGCTCTGCGGCCGTTGGTACAGATGGTGAGTTGGATTCTCGGGGTACAGTATGCTATGTGTGTGGACCGCCTGGCATGACTGATTCTATTGTGGAGAGATTGGTTCAGATCCTAGGGGATGGCGGGGAGCAGCGAGTTTTCTTTGAGAAATGGTGGTAAGGATGGAGTCAGACTGGTAGTGATGTAAAATATTCCAAAGGGATTGATTATAGTGTTTGTTCATCGATGAATGAAACGTAGTTAACGTTACAGTCCACACATACGAGAACTGGAGCAGGATAAGAGTGGGAGAAATGGCTTCAATATTTCAGAAAAAGTTAAGACTCCCCACAGACGCCGACCTAATGCAGGCAAGGGGCAAAAAGATATATGTACAGGAAAATAAGAGAAAGGCCTCCAACAAGAACGGAAACGACAGTATGTGAGAGCAGAGGCAGTACAGACACGCTGACATCTCGATACATGATGGGGAAGAGGAAGGGAAAGGAGAATAGGGGGAGAAGATAGACTTCGTTAGGATGTTTCATCCGGGCCTCTGACAGCACCGCCGTCTATGATCATCATTTCATCGATTTTGGCTTCGGTTTGACCCCATTCTAGACGCTTGTATGTTGATACACGACCTGGGCCTCTGTCGAAGTCGAAGAAACGAACTCGTCGGACGAAGTCATCGTAGCCACCGTATCCGCCCAGTCCGACACCGCCACCGTAGCACATCCAGAGAGAGGGTTTCGAATTTTCGTCTTGATCGAGCATGCAATAGTCATTGACATGATCACTAGAGCACAGTTAGCCTTCGGAACGACACAAAGGAGCCTTGAAGAGCATGAGACTTACTGTCCACAACTAACAAACAAGACGCCCTCCTCTTCGAGAGCGTCCTTGAACCTAGAGTTGAACCCTGGCGCAGTAGGAGGTTCCATCCATGTACCCTTAAAGTACTTTCCTTGAGCGCGATACTCAGGGAGCGGGATGTGGATGAATGCCACGTTCATGTGGATATGGTTATATTCCTGGTGTTTCCTTCTCAGGCTTTGGGCGGTGTTCTTGAACCACCGCGTTTGGCTCGGCTTGATCCAATCGTAGCCGCGGAATTGACGCTCGTCGGGGGAGTAGGAATGCGTGTCAAGGAAATAGAGGGTTAGGGCAGAGTGTGTGCTTTTGCCCCAATCGAGGACTTCGACAACGTAGTTTCCGACCCCGTCAATGTCTTCGGGACCAGCGGCTGCAAGGGAGTAAGGGAGGTCTTCATATAGGGTCATGAGTTGTTCTCGGTTGAGGTCGCCCTCGTCGTCGTGGTTTCCAAAGATGGCTGCGTAGGGAATCTTGCGATCGACCAAAAGCTTTACAGACTTGTACAGAGCACTTTGTGCATCTGGGGCGGTCTCTCCGTTGATCTGGTCACCAGAGAAGACCACCATGTCCGGCTTCTCTTCGTCGAGAAGCCGTTCGACGAATTCCAAGGTTCGAGGGTCGGCTTCACACTTCTGGCCAGCCACCGCTTCCGCAGGAACAGGGTCACGACAGTGGCCGAGGCCAGTGCTCATGTGGAGATCTGCTAATTGCATCACCTTGAATTTCCCGTTCTCGTTGATTCTGGGAACGGGTTTCTTGGGTTTGGCCTGTGGGTGTCCTCTTCGAATGCTAAGACGAGTCTCTAATTCTTCCGTGCGACTATCCAGGAGAATGGGAGTATCTTTGACTTCCCAGTTGGGACGAGGGTCGACAGCATCCGCTCCGTAAAGGACATCGATGTAGGTCACGGCGTTTTCGGAGTCGCTAGCATGGCGGGAGGACGAGCGCTTGAGCCAAATGCCTCCCGGTCGGGGTTCCCAGGCTTCGATTTCGGTCTTTCCCACAAATTCAGATGGGGGAGTGAGACGACTGATCTTCAAGTCGATGACCACCTTGTCATCGGGGCCCAATTCCTCCTCCTTTTTGCGCCTGAATTGAACGTAGGCACTCGAGGTCCAGCCCGAGCGCAGGTAGAGGTCCTTGTCGACGCGGTACCAGGTGTCTGGGTCTAGCTTGCAGCTCGAGAATGGATTGAGGGAGGAACATTTTGTGACGGTCACGTCTGTGATCACGTAGCCGGAATAATGCGACGGAAGATGGCCATGGATTGAAGAGGGAAGGACACTAAATCGATTGTCGAGAATGACGATGACGAGGAGAATGAATGTTGCGAATAAACCGAGCTGTACACTCGCTCGGACCTACACAAATTAGGTGTTAGCAAACGGCTTCACAGGGAGTAAAATAATGTCATACTAGCCGGCGAGCCATGATTAGATAGATATCACCCTGGCAAGGACTTGAAGAAACGCGAGACGCCCTGTCGCATGATGCCCACGAAGTGCAGGGGTATAGGGCAAAGGAGAGGACCAAATTCGGTCAACTCTAGGATATAAAGGACAGGTATAATTTGTTTGGAGGATTGAAGTTCGCATTTCACCCTCGACGCTTGGACCCTGAAGGCGGTGACTCCTGAAGGGTTGGTCTAGCCTTCTCCCGATGTTTGGTGTTTGCATATTGGTGATTCATTGACTTCGCTATTCTTACTCCTTTCACTGATATTCTCATTATCCTTGTTTAAATTTATGTGAAATTTACGTCCATCGTTAATATCCATGTCCGTCTAGATGCAAGTCTATACCGGTCTACCTCCATTCTACTGGCCGAGCGAAGCCTTGGCAGCCACCTCAGCCGCTGACACCTTACCGTTCAAGATGTCTTTGGTAGTTGAGAGGATTGTAGACCAATTCTCGAAAGTCGTGTAGGGC